ACTATTCATATATATGACATTATGTAAAACATGAAAAATGCAAAAGAATTCTAATTACTAGAATTAACAGTTTTTGGCAAAGTTTCTGAACACAAAAATTAACATGCAAAATCAATGATTTCTAAACACCAGTAACACAAAAGATAAGGTACAATGGTATCAAAAATGCAGAGTAACTAGGAAGAATCTGAAAAACAGCACATGTAAGTCCACAGTGTGAAAAATTATAAAACGTAATTGAAAGACAATAAAGCCAAATAGAATAGATTGGAAGACTTCGTATCATAAAGACTCCCCAAAGTGATCTTACAGATTCAATGAAATTCTAATCAAATGCATACATTTTCATGAAACCTAGTAAGTGTATTCTAAAATTTATATGAAATTACAAAGCCTGTGATAGCCATGACAATCTTTAAGAACAAGTTGAGTGGACTACATGTCCCAAATATTGACTAGCATAAAATTACAATAACTTATACCATGCAGTGCTAATGGTAAGTGATAGAGTGGTAGCCTAACAGAACAGAAGAGAGCATAGAATCAGACTGATGCACACAGGGACATCTGATGGGATATAAGAATGGTTTTGCAGATTAGCAGGTAAAGTATGTACGTAGTGCTGGAAATAAGTGAAATGCAATCCTTACCTTACATCATACACAAAAATCTCTTCCACTTAGGTTAAAGAACTGAGAAAAGCGAAATTACATGGGAGATATTGAGAATATACAACAGTATTTTTAAAGAAATCCTTCCCTATTATGAGGTCATAAATCAATAAAAAGTAGAAACCAATTCCTCACAAAAGAAAATACACATCACTTGAGAAGATACACATCGCTTGAGCCTAGGAGTTTGAGATCAGCCTGGGTAAATAGGGGGACCCCTGTTTCTATTAAAAAAAAAAAACAAAAAACTAGTCAGGGGAGGTGGTGCACGCCTGTGGTCTCAGCTACTCAGGAGGTGAGGCAGGAGGACTGCCTGAGCCCAGGAGGTTGAGGCTGCAGTGAGCCATGATAGCGCCACTGCATACCAGCCTCTAGCCTCCTGGGCAACTGTGAGACCTTGTCTCAAAAAAAAAAAAAAAAAAGATATACAGATGGAAAATAAGCACATGAAGAGATGCTCCACATCATATGTCATCAGATAAATGTAAAGTAAAACAACGAGATACTACTATGCACCTATTAGAAAGGCCAAAATTGAAATACTGACAACACCATATGGTGGCGAGGATGTGGAGCAACAGGAACTCTCATTCATTGCTGGTGGGAATGCAAAATGGTACAGCCATATTGGAAGACAGTTTGGCAGGTTCCTACAAAGCTAATAAGCTAAACATACTCTTACCATACGATTCAGCAACTGCGTTCCTTGTTATTTGTTTAAAGGTTGAAAACATGTCCACATAAAAACCTGCACATAGATGTTTATTGCAGTTTTATTAATAATTGCCAAAATTTGGAAGCAACCCAGATGCCCTTCAATAGGTGAATGGATAAACTGTGGTTACATCCAGACAATGAAATATTATTCACTACTAAAAAAAAATGAGCTGTCAAGCCATAAAAAGGCATGGAAGAAACTTAAATGCATACTACTAAGTCAAAGAAGTCAATCTGAAAAGGCTACATGCTGTATGATTCCAACTATATGACATTCTGGAAAAAGCAAAACTATGGAGACAGTGAAAACATCAGTGGTTGCTAGGGGTTAGAGGGTAGGTAGGAAGAGATGAATAGTCAGCCTAGAGGATTTTTGGGGCAGTGAGACTGTTCTGTATCATACTATAACACTGGATGTCATCATACATTTGTCTAAACCCATAGAATGTACAAGAAAGAACCCTAACGTAAACTATGGACTTTAGGTGATTATTTTGTGTCAATGTGGGTTCACTGGTTGTAACAAATGTACCACTGTGGTGGCAGATGTAGATAATGGAAAAAACTGTGCATGTGTGTGGGCAGGGGGACGTAAGGAAACTCCATGTACTTTCTGTTCAATTTTTCTGTGAACCTAAAATTGCTCTAAAAAATAAATTCTATTGAAAAAAGCAGAAATCATAAAGAAAAAAGATAGTCACAATAAAGTTAGTTTTTTATTCATCAAAAAGTACCACCAAAAATGGGAAAAGATAAACCACATTGGTCTTGATGGGAGAAGGTATCTGCAAACATTAAACCAACAAGAACTGGTATCCAGAATATGTGAAGAATCCCTAGGAACTGGTAAAAATGAACAAAAAGACTAGAGATAAATCATAACTACAGTTCATGCCTAAAGCCCACTAAATTGGCAAGAATTAATAAGCCCGACAAAATTAAGTACTGTCAAGGATGCAAAATGAACTCACCCAGTGCTGGAAGGTGGTCCACTTTGGAAAGTTAAACATGCACACAACCGATGGCTCAGCATTTTTACTCCTGGAGAAATTCTGGCACACTTACAAGAGATGTTCATGACAACACTCATGTTAACAGCAAAAGCAAACCACAAAAATCTACACACAACCCAGTTACCAGCAAGAGAATATAAAAACAAACTGGAAACAACCGAAGTATCTCCTACCAGTAGAATAAGTATAGTAATACATTCATACTGAAGAGGTTAAAATATGCCATTCTGGCATACTATTTAAATTAAAGACACATGAAAAACAGCAGGTACAAAAAGGTGACTGACCTTTGTGCTGTTTCTTAAGAGCAGGAGATGGATTCCAGTGTGAAAGACACTATACTAGAAGGAAAGGCATCAAACATCTTTATCTTCAATGACAAGAAGTTTGAGACCAGGAGAACACTGTATAGACCTTGTTAAAATAACTATTTTTTAAGCCTCCCACAAAATATAGTCACATTTTCACAGTTTACTAGTCTTTGTCCAATTCAGTATTTAAGTAACTGACTCTACTTCTTTTGTTTTTTATTTCTTTATGAAGGCTCCTGCGCCACATAAAATCTGTATTACATAGATTTATATGCTTTTCTCTTGTTAATCTATCCTATGCCAATTTAATCTTCAAGCCCAGCTGGGACCCTGAGAAGATGGGAAGGAGTTTTCCCCCTCCCTACCGTACAATGAAATACTATTCAATAATAAAAATTGACTAATTTTGAGAATAACATGAGTGAACCTCAGAAACACTGAATGAAAGAGAATATATAATGAAATAATAATGTATATAAATTCAAAACCAGGCAAAACAGTCTGTTGGGAGATACGTAACTGGGAAAACTATGAAGAAAAACAAGTAAAAACTATCACAAAAATTAGAGCATGACTATTATGGAGAGGGTGAGTGCAGGTGATCAAGAAGGGGCACAAGGGACCTGTCCCCGGTAATGCCCCATATTTTAACCTGAACAGCTGCGGCACTGCTGTTTTAATTTTAAAGTACACAATTACATGTTATGTGTAATGTTCTGTCTTTATACTTTACAACAGAAATAAATTTATCCATTTTCATTTAGCTTTTGATAATAAAATACTTTATTGGTACCATTTAATAAATGTCAAAAGCATATAACATTTCCATTGCTTAGCTTCCATCTTTAAACTACAAGCTAGTTTAAAAACAAGAGGAACGAAAGTAAACTCATTTGATTCTCTCAAAAAACAAGCTGTAACTTACCTTTGCAAATAATTAAGTTCTCTCACTTTAAATATCATAATTCAATGGTCTTCATAATAAATAATTATAATAATACATAAAAGGAGACAGTGGCCTGAATTATTTTGCAAAGAACTTTTCACACATCTTTAAAAAAATCATGGGCCGGGCGCGGTGGCTCAAGCCTGTAATCCCAGCACTTTGGGAGGTCGAGACGGGCGGATCACGAGGTCAGGAGATCGAAACCATCCTGGCTAACAAGGTGAAACCCCATCTCTACTAAAAAATACAAAAACCAGCCGGGCGAGGTGGCAGGCGCCTATAGTCCCAGCTCTCGGGAGGTTGAGGCAGGAGAATGGAGTGAACCTGGGAGGCGGAGCTTGCAGTGAGCAGAGATCGCCCCACTGCACTCCAGCCTGGGCAACAGAGCGAGACTCCGTATCAAAAAAAAAAAAAAAAAAAAAAAATCACTAAACCACCACAACTTAAAATCTGTAAGAATAATTGGGTAAGAGTTATTGTAATATTGAATTAATATAGCACCTAGAATTTTGAAATTTGTAATATTTCAGATTATATGATTTACTGAGAAAAAGAATAATGATTTTTCTTCAGTGAATTTTCAGGGGTTTTCAACATAGGTCTCTTTTAAAAGCCAAAGGTTAAAAAATTTATGCATACTAGGAATTGACCTGATGGTAATACATCCATGTGTGATAAATAATGTAGTGCAGTCCTATGTGAATATAATTTCTTCTTCACTTTGTCTGATTAATTTATACCTCAGTTAAAACATTCTATATACAAGTGATATATTTCTATAAAACATTCCATATTTCAGATTTCCATTCAGACTATCTTCCCCTCCTCCCTTTTCTCAAATCAGAGTGATCTTGTGGCATACATTTGCTTTTTCTCTCCACAATGAAATTCTTTTTCAACTCAAAGTATTATAGTAATGCAAATACAAACGTAGCATATATTAATACATTAGAAAAAAGGATAGTAAATACATATGGATCCATGCCAAATGAGAAAATTGAAAGCAAAAACAAACAAAACCATGCTATACTCATCTATTCTGACCCACCATGGGAAGACCCTGATGTAGATGGCTAACATAAACTAATGTTCCCAGACACAGCTAGGATCCTGTACTCCAACATAATTAAATGCTCTGTTAAAAATGTTTCCATGTTCTTTTCTGTTTGTTCAAAATAGTTTACAGCAACTCTGACTACTAATCCTGAAAATGATAATGTAATAACATTATATTTTAAATCAAGCCATAGATTCTAACCTATTTTCTACTATTACCCATTTGCTTAAAAACAGACTTTCAGGGGTGTAAGCAACAGTTAAGTTAAGGAGTTTTTATTTCTACCTTTCTCTTGATTGACTGATTGGGGATTTCAGATGTGTCAATTAATTATCCTCTACTTCAGTGGAAAAGGATTCTTTGAGCTATCAAATCAAGCAGGCTGACTCAGGGGTGGGCAGGTGAAGATACCTGTCCACACACTATGCTCATAACGCTCCATCTCCTCTGTAAGAATGTGCTGCTCTCCACCCAACAGCGGCCCAGCACATTCCATCTGCTCCACCTAGATGCAATCAGGACACCATGCCATCCCACACACAGTCAGAACATGGGCACCAGGTAGAACTAACTCAAAACAACTTTTGGGACAAATGTGAGATTTCAATTTGTCAATTATTCCATAGTGCAATATTCTCACAAAACAGAGATTTCGTGTTGAAACATTTGCTTTTTCTTCTTACATCAAGTTGAATTGCTAAAGTAATGTCAGAAAGAATATGAAAAATAAACAAGTCTTTTCCAAAAGAGGCACTGCATCTGGAAGTAGAAGTAAGGCTAAATAAATAGTGCTGGTTTGTGGTTCACACAGTAACACATTAATTATGATTTCAACCAACAGCTTCGCTGTTTGTCCTGTATGCCTGTTTATGAAGATGCGTCTCTATTTCCTCCCTGAAGACCAGCATTCCCAGGTGGGAGTGAGAGGCCTCATTCATGGCTTTAGACTGGATGCACATGCGGTACTGCTCGGGGGGCAGCTCATCAGCACAGCGCTTTTCATGCCAGAGGTGGAAAAGACCAGGAACTGGAGTCCGAATCACAATGAGGTCACCATGTAAGTATTTTCGATAAAGATGAACATCTTCTCCACCCCAACCTTTCACTTCCATGTCAAATCCACCTGTAAGATCAAAACTGACACTATAAATATCTGCCTATTATTAGCCAGAGCACAGGGATATATATATAAAAATGTTTAAATGTTCTGCTTCAAAAGGGATGGGATGGTTCGGCACAAAGATAGCATGAGACATCTGGCATGGAGGAGTGACTTCCAATCACTGGAAGTTCAGTTTTGAGCTGACACTTGGACTCAAGGAGCTCAAGATTGGTTGTTGAGAGTATCAAAATGGGGTTAAATATTTAAGAACTTTGTAAATTTCACAGTCCTGCAGAAAATCTACAGAAAGTCAAAGGAGAAGAAAATACAAGTCACCTATAATCTCACCACCATTAAATTTTTATGTTTTCTTGAGACAGGGTCTCACTCTGTCACCCAGACTGGAGTGCAGTAGTGTGATCATGGCTCACTGCAGCATCGACCTCCGTGGCTCAGGCGATCCTCCCGTCTCAGCCCCCTGAGCAGCTGGAACCACAGGCGCATGCCACCATACTCGGCTGTTTTTTTTTTTTTTTTTTTTGTGGAGATGTATCACCATGTTGCCCAGGCTGGTCTCGAACTCTGGGTTCAAGTGATCTGCCCACTTGGCCTCCCAAAGTGCTGGATTACAGGCTTTAGCCACTGAGACCAGCTACATTTTCTATCCTTTGAGACACATGCTTTTCTGGGCTATAGAAAAACTCCCCAGAGGGGAAAAAGAAGAAAGGGCCAAGCTGGAGATAGAAATTTGAGAATGGGTCCATAGATTATTTAAAGCTATAGGAATGAATGAAATTCCTGAAGGAATCTGGAAGGAAAACAGGCCTAGGTCTACACACTAAGAAATGCCAATTTCTAGAGATTAAATAGAGGTAGAGAAAGTCAGGCAAAGAGATTGAGAAGTGGCCCCAGGTGAGGGAGAAAATTCTGGAAAAGGTGCCATTGGAGTAGCCATGTGAAGAAAGTGTCTTGAGGAAGAAGTTGTCAAGTGTGTGCTATTCAGTGAAGAATTTAAAAAGAACTGACTGGACCTGGCAGCCTAAATGTTACTTATAAATTTACCCAGAACAATTTTGATAGAGTGATAGGGCAGAAGGCTAACTGGAGTGGGCAGACCCATAAAACAGGAGATGAAGTTGAGACTATTTTCAAGCCAGGTTCAAGCTAAACAACTAACGTTTTAAAGATGCACGGAGAATGCAAACCACAGTTTTTTGAAGAGCTAGAAAACTGATTCTTAAAAACCTAGAAAAAAATTCTTTAATTAAGAGTGAGGCTTCCAAATTAATTCTATTTTTTTAGAGACAAGGTCTCTGTCACCCAGGCTGGAGTGAAGTAGGATAATTATAGCTCACTGTAACCTCAAATTCCTGGGCTTAAGCAATTCTCCTGCCTCAGCCTCCTGAGTAGCTAGAACTACAGGTGTGTGCCACCACACCTGGTCAATTACAAAAAAAATTTTGTAGAGATAGGCTTACACGATGTTGCCCAGGATGGTCTCAAACTCCTGGCCTTAAGCCCTTCTGTCTTGGCCTCTGAAAGCACTAAGACTACAAGTGTTAGTCACTATGCCCTGCCATCTGTTAAACAACTTTTTTTTTTTTTTTTTGAGCCTCCCAAGTAGCTGGGATTACAGGCATGCACCACCACGCTCAGCTAATTTTTGTATTTTTAGTAGAGATGGGTTTTTATCACGTTGGTCAGGGGTCTTGAACTCCTGACCTCAGGTGATCCACCCACTTTGGTCTCCCAAAGTGCTGGGATTACAGGCGTGAGTCACTGTGCCTGGCCCGTCAAATAATTTTTATTTTTCAGAGATGTGGTCTCACTCTGTTGCCCAGGCTGGAGTACAGAGGTATAATCATAGCTTATTGCAGCCTCCAACTCCTGGGCTCAAATGATCCTTCTGCCTCAGCCTCCTTAGTAAATGGGACCACAAGTTCGAGCCACCATGCCTGGCTCCTGTCAAATAATTCTATCCCACTTAATTTCACATTAACAGGATGGACAATAATCCGGAGATCTCTGAAAAGTATTAAATAATCAGAGCTTTACTAAATGCTATGTCTGAGACATATCAGCTTTTCTTCCTTGTAGATATAAGCTCTTAGAATATTAGAGATGGTACATATACTTAAAAGAAATGGGGCATTCCCAGTTTCTGGTCTGGCATGTCTGGGGCTAAGAAGTCATCACTCCATCCTAACAAGTCAAAAGCTGAACAGTGAAAAATCAACAACTCCTCTTAGGTCTCTCACAGGGAAGTGAGGTCACAGGGTAAACCGCTGCCCTCAAAACTGGTGAGACAGATAGGCAGATACAAAGAATTCCAACTTACTGGAGCAGAAATCTCTGTGGGAACCAGTACCCAGGTAGGAAAACCCGAACTGTAATTGACAAATTGCTGGAGGCTCCGGGGAGGCAAGTCTGAGAGTTAAAAAACTCCAGGAGGACCCAGTCATATTGAGACCCCCATATTCATGTGAGTTTTACCTCTAGGAGCTCTGCCAGGTCCTCGATGGTGAAGATCAGAGAAAAATCTCTTAATGCGTCCAGCAGTGGGGAAGGGGAAAAGGTAATCATTTTAAAGTATGCCGCAGCATGTTGTCATTATTAACAAGGCCTGTCCTTAGAAGAAGTTATTTAACTAAAGCCTAACCTGCTGGGGTTTTATCAGTGCCTAACTGACTTGGAGGAAGAAATATACCCAACTCCAGCCCCTTCTAGTTATCCTGTCCAGGAGAGGAGGGGAGATTGAGAAGCATGTGTGAAGTTCAGAGTCTGGGATACAGGATCCCTAAGAGACTGAGACTCACGGGACTACAGAACACTTCCACTCCCTCCATACTTCACCACCACATCATCAAAGGCCTATTTATTGCAGTTCCTTTTACCCAGTATATCAAGTCCAACTTTCAACAGAAAACATGACAAGGTATACTAAAAGATAAGAAAAACACAGTATGAACAGACAGAGCATGTACCAGATCCAGATTCAGATACAGCAGGGATGTTGGAATTATCAGGCTGGGAATTTACAACAATTATGATTAATACGCTAAGGGCTCTAATGGAAACAGCAGATAACACACAAGATGCGTAATATAAGCAGTGAGATGGAAATTCTAAGAAGGAATTTTAAAAAATGCTAGAGATCAAAAACACTGCAAAATAAATGAATGCCTTAGATGGGTTTATTAGTAGACCAGACTTAGCTGAAGAAACAATCTCTGAGCTTGAGGATATAACAATAAAAATTTCCAAAACAGAAAATCAAAGAAAAAGACTGAAAATAAAATGAACAAAATATCCAAGAACTGTGGGACAACTACAAAAGATGTAACATACACATAATGGGAATACCAGGAGGAAAGGAAACAGAGAAAGGAACAGAAACTCCAAATAAAGAGTCTAAGTTCCAAATAGGTACAGCTCTTTTTCACCCAGCCCACAGCAACAGGGTGGAGGCTCCACTTCCAGGTGTGGCCAGCTGAGAATACTGGGGGTCCTTCTGCCCCTACCCAGTGTCCTGCTCATTAGGACAGAGATGGTCACTCTGCTTAATGATAAGTATGTCACTGTCCCCATCCTCAGGGCAAAACCTCATGGATTTTTTTCCCAGGGGGAGAGGCAGTCCATAAGAACAAACTGCTCCAAAGTTCTTCCCTAAGGAACTGACTTTATTTAAAATAGAATGTAGAGAAGTTCAGAGTTTAGAGAAGTTCCAGCCTCTTGAAAACAATGGAGATTTTGGTAGTAAGCAATTAAGAGGAGGCTGGTAACTCCAGGAGGGCAACAGCTAAACTGTAGGCCAGCTAATTTACTAGAGAGAACCACAGAGAGAGAGAGTAAGAATATACCTCCCAGGGTCTGAACAAATCTCAAAGACTTGCTGCAAAACTATCCCTGCAAAAAGGCCCAATTTAGTAGGGACAGATTATGGAGCAATTTATGACCCCAGAGCATTGTCACAAACAAGACAGCACTTAGTGAACAGTCAGTGGAGTCTAATAGGAGTGACAGAGATGCTCAACAACATTAATCATAAGAAAAATTATAATCAGAGTCACAACCAATACCACATCCACTATCATGGGTGATACTAGAAACAAAAAGACAGATAACAACATGTATTAATGAGGATGTGGGGAAACTGGAACTCTTAAAACACTGCTGGTGGGAATGTAAAATGACGTAGCCACTTTGGAAAACGGTGTGGCAATTTCTCAAAAGGTCAAACACAGGGTTACCGTATTACCCAGCAACTCTACTCCTAGATATATGTCCAAGAGAATTGAAAATCTATGTCCACTCAAAAAGTTAAACATAAATGTTCACAGCAGCAGTATTTATAATAGCCAAAAAGCAGAAACAACTCAAATGCATATAAACTGACAAATGGAGAAACAAAATGTGGTGTAACCACACAATAGAACATTTTCTATAAAAAGGAATGAAGTACCTAACACATGTCACAACATGGAAGAACTTTGAAAACATTATGTAAGGGAAAGAAGCCAGTCATAAAAGGCCACATGTTGTATAATTTGCTTTCTATTAAATTCCCAGAAGAGGCAAATCTATAGGAAGTAGACTTGTAGATGCCTAAGTTTGAAGGAAAAGAGGGTTGGTGGGATATGAGGAGTGATTGTTAATGGGTATGGGGTTTCTTTTTGGGGTTATAACGCTCTAAATTTGATGGTGGTGACAGCTACATGACTTGGTTAACTGTACATTTTAAATTGGTAAATTTTATGATATGTAAATTATATCTCAATAAAATTGTCATAAAAGAGATAAGGAACTCAAAGCACTTAACATACTGCTGAAAAAAATGTACACAAATCTATTTTTGAGGAATAGTGAAATGCTTCTTGTTTAACTAAGCAAGAAATCAAGGAAAAGAGCATCAGTTTAATTTAACGCCCCTTTTATTGTTATTTCCTGATTTTCCATTATTCACGTGTTATAGTGATAAGGAGACAAGGTGGGGGGGATTTCCAAAACAAAAGGTTGATTATAAAAATGAGCGTGATATGGACCTAGAATGTATATAAAATATATTCTATGACTTTTATGCTGTAGAAAGGTAGCTAGCCCTAAATGAATCAGAAGACATGGAATTAGGTTTCAGCCTGCTTTATTAAACTATTCTTTGACACTTTATTTTTTGATGGGTAAGACTGAAGCCGGGGGCTGGGCATGGTGGCTCATGCCTGTAATCCCAGCACTTTGGGAGGCCAAGGTGGGCAGATCGTTTGAGCCCAGGAGTTCAAGACCAGCCTAGGCAATAAAGTGAAACTCCACCTCTACAAAACAAATACAAAAATTAACTGGGTGTGGTGGCGCATGCCTGTGGTCACAGCTACTTAGGGACTGAGGTGAGAGGATCGCTTGAGCCTGGGAGACAGAGGCTGCAGTGAGCCAAGATCGCGCCACTGCACTTCAGCCTGGACAACAGAGGAGTACCCTGTCTCAAAAAAAAAAAAAAAAAAAAAAGAAAGAAAGAAAGACTGAAGCTGGCGTGGAGGATGGTTAGAACAAATTATTCATGGGCCATCTTTAGACTTAGGGGAATGCACGACTAAGGTGTGATTCCAAGATGCTAACTCCAATCAGTGCTAGAGAGAGCAGGTCTTCTTTCATTTGTATTAAATACTCGGATTTTGTGTAACAGTTCACTACACAAGTAAAGGAGGTTTCATCTCAAAAAAGTGTGAAAGTCCTTGGTTTAGACAACCAAGATTACTTCCAACTGTAACAACCCATGGGCAGAACAGTAAAGTTATAGAGAAAGCTTTTGTAAGAGTACTCTAAACAACTGCAAATACAGGTAACAAGTTAAACAGATATTTTTAAAAACAAGTGTTTTGATTTTAAAAGCACAATATTATACTTTATCTTTATGACCTTTTTTCCTAGTCAAAACATTAATTATAAATTTACTTTGCCTTTTGTATATCCAGTTTCTCTTTTTAGCTAACCTTAGACACTCATAATTTAGTAGGAAAACAGATCTGAGAACTTTTAGCAAAATACCATTAAGTCTGGAATAAATAAAGTCCTATCCTTAAATGTAAAGTATACTTACCAATGGTCAGGAAATCTGATCGATACTGACAAGTCATTCCAAAGCCAAAATCTCGCCAAAAGCCAGAATCCTTTTTATGAACCTTAGTTAAAAAAAAAAAAAAAATCAATTTAATTCCATAAGAAGCAGAAGTTGTTTTAATCAATGATGAAACAAATTATTTTCTAATGTATACTTTTTTTCCTGTCATTTATGTGACTAAGGATCACATGCACTTATGTTATTAAATCTTTACAAAACAAATAAAAATAGAACTCAAAGCCTGTACAAGGTGCAAGCTGAGGTTACTAATAATTAGTGCGGTGCCTGACTTCAAGGGGCTTACATTCTAGGACAACAGTTGCATAAACAAACTGTAACACACATGATCAGCCTTACACAGTAGACCTTTTCTGGTGCCTACCCAACATCCATTCCCCCAGCCCCCTTCCTGATTGGTACAGTTTTGTTCTGGTAATTACCTGGCCCTGGGCAGCCAATGAATTCTGGGAAGCTGCTGTCACCAGTAGATTCAGAGTGGGCCATGAGTCTCTATACTAGTGAGAGAGTCTCACCCCACTTACCATAGGAACTGGCTCACTAATAGGTATTTGAAAAAAGTCAGGCCAAGTAGGTAAACCAGGGGGGTTGTTGGGAACTTTGGAAAACAAAGCTCCCTCATTCTTCTAAGAGACTCCCTAGAAAGGACACTTGGTCGTAGGGCAGGGTCAGCAAACGATGGCCTCTGGCTAAATCTGGCCTGCTGCCTGCTTTTGTAAATAATTTTAGCGGAACATAGTTGTGTTGATCTGTTTACAAATTGTCTATGGGTGCTTTCACAGTGCAGTGGCAGAGTTGAATAGTTGCAGCAGAACTGTATGGCCTATAAAGATTAAAATATTTCTTATCTGGCTCTCTACAGAAAACATTTGTTGACCTCTAGTGCAGGATGCAGCTATGAAGCTTGGAACTGCCAAAGTCCTTTTCTACCATGCGAGAAACCAGCTTTAATATGAAGCTGTCACCACTGAAGTCTAAGTAGAGAAAGAAATATAAAACCAGGGCATTGATGACACTGAGTCCTTGGAATCACTTCTACTTACAAGTTGAAGCCTGATAAACCTCTTATTTTATTCATACTTTCAACAAGTGTTTAATCTTTTGGATATGGTTCTAGTAACTGGGGCTTAGCAGTGAACAGAGGTGACAAAGTCCTTGCCTTCGAAGCACCTTTGTTTGGGTGGGAAAATAGTAAATAAATAAATATACATTTTAGGTGGTGATACATGCTACAAAGAGGCAACAGCTATAACTAGGGATGGAAAGTTGCTAGTGTATGCTACTGTGGTATGTACAGAAAGCAAAATAGTGTATGGATGTGGAATGTGGAAAAGATTTAGGTCAGAGACTTCACAGAAGTCCGCAAGTGATTGAATGGGCAGGAGTAGGGAGTGAAGGAGAAGGATCAACCAAGACAGTAGCAGGTTTCTGTCCTGAACAGTGAGTATGTAATGGTGAGTGAAGGAGAAGGACTGACCAAGATGACAGCAGGTTTCTGTGCTGAACAGTGGGTATGTAATGGTGCCATCACCAAGATGAAGCCCAGGGGAAGGGGAAGCCCAGAGAGGAACAACATGGAGTTGGTTCTGGCCATAATGAATCTGAGTGATCTGTATGGCCCCTACACAGAAATTCCTGCAGATAGCAGGAATATCAAGGTCTGTAGAGGGGACAAATTTTGAGAAGAGTGGGCACAGTCTGAAACTGCTGCTGTACAGAATAGGAGACTCAACAGGAAAACACAGAATGAACCAGGCAGCCCTGAGGGCTCAGTTCAGACTCGAGCTGATGGATGAGGTTGGCATTTTTCTTTTCCGTTTGTTTTTCTTTGAGCTGAGGGGGAGAACTTCTTCCCCTTCTAGAATGTAAAGCTCCCTGAGGGGAGGACTTGTGGATTCTGTTCATTGCTCTATTCCTAGCACCTAGAACAATGCTAGGCACATGGCAAGCTTTCAATAAATACATGTTGAATAAATAAATATATAGAGAGACAAAACTTTAGTGGCAAAATTATGACTAGACTCTATTATTATTATTTTGAGATAGAGTCTCACTCTGTTGCCCAGACTGGACTGCAGTGGCACAATCTTGGCTCACTACAACCCCCGCCTCCTGGGTTCAAGCGATTTCCGTGCCTCAGTCTGCTGAACAGCTGGGATTACAGGTGTGTGCCACCACATCCGGCTAATTTTGGTATTTATAGTAGTGACGGGGTTTCACTATGTTGGCCAGGCTGGTATCGAACTCTTGCCCTCTGGTGATCCACCTGCCTCGGCTTCCCAAAGTGCTGGGATTACACATGTAAGCCACCACTCCTGTCTCTAATATTCTTATCTCTTTGTTAAAATATAACTGTGATACAAAGTATTAAAAAGCAAAACACCCACTTTGACATCTGTACATCATGCCAATTCTGATTTTATAAGTACTATAACTTTGTAACTTAGTTTCTCTAAAAATTCTTCAAATATTATCAGACTTGGAGAAAGGAATCATTGGTTTTGTTTGATTTTTAAAGCAACACATTTTCACAGAGGAAAGTAGAAGGAAACTCAAATTGTCCATAATCCTCATTGTTAATATTTTCTTGCACTGTTTTATCTGGCATCCTAAGCATGTGGGAGATGCAGTTATCCACACATAACCTAGATACCTAAGCCTTGGCCTCTCACAGAATGCCAGATCCCTGAAGCCAACTAGCAACTTGGCACCTCCCCTTGGATGTCTGATAAACAACACATGCCTACTATGGCTCCAGGTGAATCCTGATCTCTCCTCTCCCATTCCTTTCCTTTGCTCATTTCCTACATCTAATCCAACAGCAAGCTCTGTCAGCCCTATCTCTGAATCATATCCAAACCTTTCTCCGTAACTGTAATACACTGTCGCTCAAGCCACAATCATCTTCACTTGTCTACTGTGAAAGCCTAAACTGGCTGCTGCCAGCCAGAGTAACACACAATCCATTCTCCCTGCAAAGGCTTTCCAACACACTTAGCATAAAATCCCAACACCTTCCAGAGGCTTAACAAGCTCTACATGCCCTGGCCCAGCTATATGACCCTCACCGGTTGTGCTCCAAATACCCTAGGAAACCCAGTAGCTGTTCTTTCTGCCTGAAACCACTATCCCCCAATCATAGCCTAGCTGGTTCTTTCCTGTTCTTTGGACAGCTCTGCTCAGCTTCATCTCAGAAATGCCTTTCTGATCAAACAAGTCACAGAAACCACAGAGTCAGTCTTGGCAACTCAGTCTGTTTTAATGATTCACATGGCACGTATTATCTGATTTTACTTTCTGTCACCTCCTAATAAATAAAGGTCCTCACGAGCAATAGCCATATCTGTTAGGGTGTAGATGTCAGGGTGCCAGTGGTGGGTAATGCCGCTGGCATCAAAGGGACCCTCAATATTTGATGAATTAATATAACAGAGGCAGTGTGTGCAGTGGACAGGAGTAGAGGCTGTGGAGCCACATCACCCGGGCTCCTGGGCCTACCCAGGCCAGTGTGCACTTGGGACAGGCACTCGACTGCAGCACAGCTGTGACAAAGGGGGCAGTAATAGTACGTACCTCAGAGGTTGTTAGGAGGATTAAATGAATTAATGTGTAGGCAAAACAGAACAAGTACCCTGCACATAGTAAAGGGTTCATAAAAATATTAGCTATTATCATCATTCAAATGTTGCCTAAAATATAGATAAGCTATTTCCCACTTTTTAGCTTTACAGTTTTCTCTACATTTACATTGCTGTATTTACATTTCACATTTTCCTCGATATGCAATATCCACCACAGAATGCACCAGAATTCAATTTATCCTTTTATTATTAGTTTTGCTTGCTTTTAATGTTATCAATTTATGCATATTACTATCATGTAGCTCGATTATTTCCCCATGAGAGACTGCTGGGAGTGGAAATTACTGGCTCGGAGGGATGAATCTGTTTAGAACTTGACCCAGAGAACTGGCCTGAATCCCCAACAGGAGCGATGGAGGAGCTCCCATCCCCCAGCCTTGCTCGCACGGCTTTCCTTTTTAAAAGCAGTGACCTAACAGCAGAAAAAAAGCATTATACTGCTGTTTTAATTTATTCCTAGTAAGGCTGACTATTTAAATGTGGTGAAACTAGAACTTGAAGTGCTTAAACTGAAGTTGCTATGCAACACCTAGAATGAATCGGCATTCAAATCATACTTCTCCTACAACCCTCCAAGCCAGGCAAGAATATTAGCATGCTTTGGCCGGGTGGGGTGGCTCACGCCTATAATCCCAACACTTTGGGAGGCCGAGGCCAGCAGAGCACAAGGTCAGGAGTTAGAGAACAGTCTGGCCAACATGGTGAAACCCCGTCTCTACTAAAAAAACAAAAATTAGCCGGGTGTGGTGGTGTGCGAATATAATCCCAGCTACTTGGGAGGCTGAGGCAGGAGAAACAGGAAGGCAGAATTTGCAGTGAGCTGAGATCGCGCCACTGCACTCCAGGCTGGGCAACAAGAGTGAAACTCCGTCTCCAAAAAAAAAAAAAAGTATTAGCAAGCTTTTACATTCCCTTCACACTTATATGTTGACTTTATTTACCTCTTCTTGTTTGCTTTCAATTAATATATAACCTTTTATTTTGGAATAATATCACTTGGTTAAGGTGTCTGCTGGGTTTCTCCTTTGAAAAGTTTGTTTTTTCTTTCCATACTATATTCTTTGAAAGTGAGTCCCCTAGTTCCATCTACTGGAAGAGAGAGTATCTGCATAAGTTATTTGGAATTCTGTAAGGAAGATTTGTCTTTTCTTTCTTATCTAGTCTAGTCATTTAATATTTATCTGCTCATTCACTTACTCATTTATATCTGTATAGACTCATGGCTATTTATTTGATGCTTTGGGTTATAATCCAGGTCATTGTTCAGGTTGTTCCAGTTTGGGCACTGGGAGCTCTTTCTGTTGGCTCCTGCCCCCTTTGACACACTCCCCCTGTCTTTTTGTTGAGTGCTTTCTTACTTTCTGGCGCTGTAAGATGCTCCAGGGTCGTCTTGTATATTTTTTGCCTCTGCCCTGGAATCAACCATTTCTCCGTGGACCTCTGGCTCCTTTGATTGGAGAACAGTATTGGAAACTAAGATTTGGAAGCTGAGTGTGCTTGTTACTATTAGGGTGTCACTGGTTCTAGGCCCTTTCAGCTGACAGTTAGGTAATACACACATAAGTATACCATGCATATAACCCTCTGACATCTTAATCCCAAATTGCTATTAATTGCCTTTTTATTATGTCAACATAACTATTTACACTATTACATCAACAAATGTTTAGACTTAATTTTTTTGTTGTTCACTACTATTTATTCTCAAGTCCTCCTCTCTCAATGTATACATTTATCATTTTGCTGGACTTGATTAAAAAGATCTGTGAGAAATAAATTCTGAGTCCTTGAAAGCTCAAAAATGTCTATTTTATCCTAAAATAGTAGGTCAAATATTAATTCTAGAATCAAAGTTACCTTTCCTCAGGATTTTCATAGTATTGCTTTATTGTTTTCTAACACCAGTGTTGTCAAAAAGAAGGCGAATGTCAATCTGATTGTTACTACTTTGTGAACAAGCTGGGTTTAGATATTTTTAGTGTCTCTGGAAGCTATTAAAATTGTTCCTTTACTGTTGTTCTCCAAACACCAGAAGATTTGTTTCTGCTTAGCTCTGGAAACTTTTCTTCCATTTCCTCCACTCAATATTCTCTCTTTTCTGAACTCCTATTGATAATTTGGGAGCTTCTGGCTTGATTCTCCTTGTCTCAAATTTTCTCTCATGTTGTCTCGTGAACTTTACGTGTTCAGTTGGCTTGTCTTCCAGTTTACAAATTTGGCTCACCTGTAACCATTCTGCTATTCAGACCCTTTGGGAGGCCGAGACGGGCGGATCACGAGGTCAGGAGATCGAGACCATCCTGGCTAACACGGTGAAACCCCGTCTCTACTAAAAATACAAAAAACTAGCCGGGCGCGGTGGCAGGCGCCTGTAGTCCCAGCTACTCGGGAGGCTGAGGCCGGAGAATGGCGTGAACCCAGGAGGCGGAGCTTGCAGTGAGCTGAGATCCGGCCATTGCACTCCAACCTGGCAAAAAAAAAAAAAAAAAAAAAAAAAAAAAAAAAAAAATATTTTCACAATTCCCAAGTTCTGATTTTTTAAAGCAACAAATCCTGTTTTATGAACTTAACATTTTCTCTAATCTCCCTAAAGATATATTTTAAAATTACTTTCTGTCTGTATTCACACACTCATGTGTTAATTTTTCTGTGTATTAACACTTGGTCCCTCTTTCACACTATTGTTTTTCCTCAAATGTTTGGTTAGTCTTGGTTAATTGCTACTCATTTTTGTTTCAAGTGTTGTTCGGAAGTCCACGGCTGTTAGCTAAGATTAAAATGGCCTATCTCCAGTCACAGTCAAGGAGGGCAGAACAGGGTCTCAGGGGAAATGTGCTAACAGAAGCTCACTTTTGTAGTCTAGGGGCTCCCTAGCCACCCTGACCAGCCTCTCCAGCCCCAGGGACTACACGCACTGCTTTAGACTGAGGGTCAATCCCTGTGATGCCTGCTTCTCAGCACACCTAGAGAAGCATGTTTACTCCAGACTCCCTCCATTCTGTCTGCCATGAGCTCAGAGGATGCAAAGCAGCCCCATCTTCACTCATTGTTCTCTTGAACACGTTCTAGTCTGTTCTCTCCTCCAGAAATCTTATGCTGCTATCATCTTACAGAAAGTTCTCAAAACTTATGGCTGCTAACACCTTCTCTCATTTTCCAGTACTAATGTACTCTTTTCTTTAGAATAATTCACTGTCAGATATGGCAGATGTGGGTGCTCAGTTTGCCATTTTGAACCTATTTATATTTATATTCATAATACTGGCGTACAGATAAGATAGAGGGGTGTGTGTGTGTGTGTGTCTGTGTGTACTATGCCAAGTGTTGATATCAGGATAATGGTGGCCTCATAAAATATGTTAAGTACATCATATGGTGCTAATATTACCTGCTCTTTGAGAGTTTGGAAAAGCTCATAAATTAAAACATTGTATTTATGTACCTACAGGGTAACTTTTTGATAACTGTTTTTTAAATGGCTCTTAATTTCTTCAGAGCTTCCACCTCTTTTGTTTTGTTTTTTTGAGACGGAGTCTCGGCTCTGTCACCCAGGCTGGAGTGCAGTGGTGTGATCTTGGCTCACTGCAACCTCCGCGTCCCAGGTTCAAGCGATTCTTTTGCCTCAGTCTCCCGAGTACATAGGACTACAGGCTTGTGCCACCATGCCTGGCTAATTTTTGTATTTTTAATAGAGACGGGGTTTCACCATATTGGCCAGGCTGGTCTCGAACTCCTGACCTTGTGATCTGCCTGCCTTGGCCTCCCAAAGTGCTGGGATTATAGGCGTGAGCCACCATGCCCGGCCCACTTCCACCTCTTTTATTCATAAAATACTAACATGAACTTAGCCCGTGTTCATATTTTATAAATTTTCAAATCTTTCATTTTATTTAGAATTTAGAAAACTTACCCTATAAAATTGATTTATCTCAATGTTTTCACTTTCTAATTTCCAATGTTTTCCTTTTTACCCAAAATGTGTCTACCTTACGATTAAATTTTTTGTACATAAACATAAGCTTCTATATTTCTCAATCTATTTTTGTTTTAACTTCTGCCTTTATCTTTATTGCTTTCCTTGAAGTTATTTTTCTTTTTTTTTTAAACATCTTAAAGTGACTTCTTAATCATTTCTACTTTTTCTTAGTATTAACAATAAAGGATTACGCTAAAAGCAATTTGGTATTCTGGACTCGATTCTGAAACAGAAAAGGACGTTAGTAGAAAAACTGGTGTAATCCTAATAAATCTGTAGTGTACTTAGCAGTAACTTACCAATATTAATTTCTTCACTTTGACAAATGCACCATGGTTACATAAGATGTTAGCATTAGAGGAAACTGGGTGAAGTATGGGACTCTCTGTACTATCTTTGCAACTTCTCTAAATCTAAATTATTACAAAATAATGTTTATTTAAACATTTTAAAAAGCTTACATAAGCTTAGCTTTGGCAATAACTGTAAGTTTTGATATATGGCATTTATATTCCATGACTTTCCAAGTAATTTACCAGAGTATACTATTCCCTCTTATTTAGCAAAGTAGATTTGTATTTCTAGTTAGTAGGGTTTTTAAAATCAAAATTTTAGTATTAGTAAAAATAAGCTGGCAGAAATGACTGTACAATTTCCACATTCTAGGACATGAGGTTTTCCTTTTTGACCTAAACTCTGCTCCCCTTACACTTAATTCTGAAGCAATAAATGTGAAAAGCATTTTATTGGTGGTATAAAGAGAAACTATGGAAATGTGTTTACAATAACTACAGTTTTTCTTTAACACTTTGCTCATGGGAATACAGTTTTTTACTGAAACTTTGTTTTCTACTTACACAACAAACATCTAGAAAAGATCTTTAGAGTCTTTCATAACTGAAAATGTGAAAGTCTCACCAGCTGCTGCTCCACAGGTGGTGGCACTTCCTGGTTGGCATAAACAATGGCAGGATTGTAAAGACTGAACACCACAGGGTAAAACACCTTCTTACCTACAAATTAAAATATAGGTTTGTAACATACAAAGAAGTTATGAAGAACTGTTCCTTGTTGCAATATCTATTAAGTTTTATCAAAGTCTTTCTTATCATAGAAGATGATTTTATCTATATTTTTAAATATTCAGGCTACAGAACATCATGTTAATTTGATGAATATGATGATTTTATAACATATCAGTAGGTTAACTACAACCTTACAAAAGAACAGAGGAAAAAACAAACTAAAGGGTGCTTCACATTTATTCCCTTTGACTTTGGGGAGATGTGTATTCATTACCTGAGTCATTTATTACTCATTATTTCATCTAATCAGTAGTAATAAATGTAGATTAACCTCTGATAATCACTATGAAACTTAGAAATGTCTCTTAAATCCACCCTTCAAAAATGAATCATTAGAAAAAGTAAATTAAAAAAATACTGTACAATGAATAGACATGCAGAGAATAATTAAAATATAGAAAAAATCTGAACCAAAATCTGGAAAAGTCAGGAAGATAAGGATTAAAATTACCTGATATAATAGCCCTTGGAGAAGACCCTGCCATCAGCATTCAAACTGACTGATCTAAAAGGATCATAAAGGCTAACTAGCCCATCTCCCTCAGTAGAGTATGGCTGGCTTCAATCAGATGTGATCACATGAAGTGTTCAGTGATTATCAGGAAGTGTGGGAGTAACATGGCAACCTTTTTATTACAAGATCCCTAGCAGATGTTCATTCTACCGTTGTTCAAATACATTTAGGGATGGGGAGCTCAATTTTCCAGAGGCAAATCTATTTCTGGATATAAAATATTTCTTTTAAACTAAGCAAATATGTCTCCTTCAACTTTCACATTTTGCATTTCATGCTGTAAAATAAACCTAACCTTCATTTATTCATTAGGTTCAGAGAGTTCCTGAAAATTCTCTCTAACCTAATTAATAAGAAGGCAATCATTTGCATATGAATAGTTTCTCACAAAAAAATTTGCTATTAGATTCTTTAAAAATTTTTTATTTTTATTTTTTGGGACGGAGTCTTGCTCTGTTGCCCAGGCTGGCGATCTCAGCTCATTGCAACCTTCGCCTCCCAGGTTCAAGCAATTCTTCTGCCTCAGCCTCAAGAGTAACTGGGATTACAGGAGCAAGCCACCACGCCAGGCAAATTGTGTATTTTTAACAGAGATGGGGTTTCACCATGTTGGCCAGGCTGGTCTCGAACTCCTGACCTCAGTTGATCCGCCTGCCTCGGCCTCCCAAAGTGCTGGGTTTATAGGCATGAGCCACCACACCTGGCCTCTTTAATACTTTTAATTCTTTTAAATGAGCTAAAAAGCATTTAGCTACTGTGCCCAGCCAAAAATTTTATTTTTAAAGATGAGGTCTCGCTATGTTGCCTAGGCTGGTCTTGAACTCCTGCGCACAAGTGCTCCTCCTGTCTCAGACTCCCAAGGTGCTGGGATTAAGGTGTGAGCTACTGTGCTCAGCAGCGCCCCCACAATGTTTTTCTAATTGACTAATAAAAATGGTGTACAACATGATGTTTTGCTACATTCATATATTGTGAAATGACTAAATCAAGCTAATAACCATATCCATCACCTCACATAATTAACATTTTTTTTTGGTGGTAAGAACATTTTTTTTAATGTTACTGGCTTAGCAATTCGTAAGTATACAATATATTATTATTAACTATAGTCACGTTTGTATAATAGATTTCCTGAACTTACTCATCCTGCTGAGATTCTTTAATGCTTTTTTTTTTTTTTTTTTTGAGATGGAGTGTCACCCTGTCATCCAGGCTGGAGTGCAGTGGTGCGATCTTGGCTCACTGCAAGCTCTGTCCCCTCGGCTCATGCCATTTTCCTGCCTCAGCCTCCTGAGTAGCTGGGACTACAGGCGCCCACCACCACGCCCGGCTAACTTTTTTTGTATTTTTAGTAGAGACGGGGTTTCACCATGTTAGCCAGGATGGTCTCGATCTCCTGACCTCATGATCCACCCGCCTCAGCCTCCCAAAGTGGTGGGACTACAGGCGGTGAGCCACCGTGCCTGGCCTCTTTAATACTTTTAATTTTTTAAAATGAACTAAAAAGCATTTAAAAAAAGATTTAAAAAAATGTCATCTTCTCATTAATTTTTTTTTTTTTTTTTTTTTGAGACGGAGTCTCACTCTGTCACCAGGCTGGAGTGCAGTGGCGCGATCTTGGCTTACTGCAACCTCTGCCTCCTAGGTTCAAGCAATTCTTCTGCTCAACCTCCTGAGTAGCTGGGACTACAGGCGTGTGCCACCATGCCTAGCTAATTTTTGTATTTTTAGTAGAGACGGGGTTTCACCATGTTGGTCAGGATGGTCTCAATCTCTTGACCTCATGATCCACCTGCCTCAGCCTCCCGAAGTGCTGGGATTACAGGCAAGAGCCACTGCACCCAGCTATCTCATTAATTTTCAAAAAATATCTACAACTTAAAGCAAAATATAGTAAAACACCTCAAAATGCAGTCTGGAGACCAAGCACTACTTGCATCTAGACTTCCATGTGAGTGTGTGTGCACACATGCATGGTGGTATGTTTGCATGTATGGACACTATATGCCCAAAGCTGAGTGCTTCAGACTCACACACATCTCCATACCATCTGCTTAGCTCTTTTTCGACCTGCATTGCTCCTGCCTCATCAATTTGTAGATATCCTGTTCCTCTGCATTTCTTTATTTGACTTCAAATGTAGTCACTGGAAGTTGGACCCAAGAGAACAAAGGATATGAATTTCAAAGGGTCAAATTTTCAATTTCCTATTTAGTATTCCAGTTACATTATGCCTAATATAACTTAAAAAAAATACTGGGGTTTAACTGAAACTTCTCCCTCAAAATCACTTGATTCAAACTATAGGACATGCCGACACTATTCTAAATTCTATAGTCAGCTCATCTACCAACATTTTACGCACCTGGCTCAGCATTTAACCGGCAGCTGTTAAGGAATTCGGCTGAGAAATAGATATCAACATCACAGAAAAACATCAAGACCTCTCCCTTGTCCCAAGCTCGGGCACCCACATTTAGTCCTCGTCCACGATTAAATTCTTCATTCAATGAGACCAAGGTGTAATTGTGAAAATTAGACTCACTATGAGGAAAGCACACACAACAAATGATAAGTCCCACTTAAAGTTACCAATTTTCTTCCTTCAACACAGCTTACAAAATATGTTTTACACTTCAAATATTTGATTATATTGGTTCTACATTCACACAGGGAAAGAAAATCCCAGCTTCATGTGTATGATTATCATCAGGGAGAGATATTCACCAAATGCCCACATTTGAGGCACATTTTGGTGGTATGAGGCTCCAAAAGTGTTAAAGTGGCCACTGCCCTTTGGAATCTTAAACACCTTCTGGGGAGATGAAAAATACACAAATGGAAAAATAGCTGTAATGTCTGTTAATAAATAATGCATTCTAATTGGATAACACACACAAAGATCACTCTCCTCTTGCATCTGTTGGGTCTTTGCACACATGTCCCCTTATCAGAGGGATCCTCCCTAATACTACTTGAGAAGCAGCTCCGACCTCCCAGTCCTTCATCTCCATCCTCTTCCTCAGCTGTTTTCCTTTATATTGTCAGATATGTTTGTTCCAGTGTCTCTTCCACTCTGTGGGAGCAGGGATTTTGTTTTGTTCGTTACTACGGACAGTGTCCCCTGATAGAGTAGGAGTTCAATAAATAGTTGCTGAATGAATGAATGAACAGCAGTTCTAAAAAACACATCGCTCATGTCTGGAGTAGTTAAATAAGATGTTAGAAGTGGAACGTGAGTTATGCCTTGGTTAAAATGTTGAATTCAGTGGTGAGCGTAAAGGTCATTCAAGAGAATTATTCCCAAAGGCAAAGAGGTAAGAATGTAGAAAGCATTTTAGAGAAAAGGGATCAGACAAATCAGATTGGTACAAAAGGACCCTAAAATGGGAACAGTGAGATAAGGGTCAAAGGAATCTTAAAATGGGAACAATGAGAGAAGAGTCAGACAGAAGAGTACCTCCCATGCAAGGTTAAAGAAATCGGTCAGTATCCTAAAGGTAAAGAGAATCAGCAGGGCTTTTCTGCTAGGGCAGTGGTTCTCACAGTGAGGCCCCCAAACCCACAGCATCAGCTTCCCGTGGCAACGTGTTAGAGAAGCAAACTCTCAGACTACACCCAGACCCACTGAATCAGATGCTAGGGCTGGAGCCAAGCTTCTACATTTTCACAAGTCCTCCTGGTAACTCTGGCACTGAAGTTGGAGAACCACTTACTGCAGCCTAATCAAAAAAGTAACATTTTAGGAGGATTATGCTTACAACAGTACAGAATGGGTAATGGAGAGATGGAAAAAAGGCTCAAATAGTGCATGGAATGGACTCCAAGTGCTCTGAGTGCCTAAGACTCTTTCCCTCATCTTAAGGATTATAAATCTCTCCTCTGTTGGGTGAAAACTGCCCACTGCGACCCCACATACTCAGCATCAAGTGGAGGCACTGATCACAGAATACCCCTCACTCTCTGCCCACCCCAACCACAGTAATTTCCTAGGGGTGGGGACCAGGCTTAAGCTGGGCCAGTCCCAATACCCCCACCCCACCTGGCCATACTGATTGGCTCAAGAGTGGGCAAAATGTCCTTCCCTGGGATTTTCTCAACTGGAGCTGGGAGAAAGCTCTTTCCTCTCTGATGGCAAAGCTGAGAAGATGTGAGCCCAGAGCCGCCAACAGTCATATCCCTCACCATGTGGAAGAAGCCAATCTGCAACAGGAGAATGAAGTCAACATGCAGAGAAAAACAGCCAAGGAGACAAGAGAATTTTGATGGTATTCAAGTCTCTGGTTCCAATCCCTGAGAAACCAGAGTTGTTTTGATTTTCTTCCCCAAATTTGGTTGTAACAATCCCTTTATTTCTGGGAGGTATGCAAGATTCTTCAATACTGCTCCTATTTTCCTGAAGTAAGCTCAAGGTAGGTTTACACCATTTGCCACAGAAGTGTCTTGACAATACTTCAGTATTACCAGTGTGAGCTCGTGGCACTTAGTAGGTGATCTAGAAACACTAAGGAGGGAGAGGAAGGGAAGAAATGGAGGAATGGGGAACCAGGGTTAGGGTGGTGGCAGTAGCAAGGAAGAGACAGAGAAGAGGTCTTGTGAAGTAAGTAGGAACTAACTGATTAGAGGTAATTGGAGGCAAAGAATAAGTAAAAGACTGTGGCTCTCACAAGTCATGCCCAGGGGATGGTGAAAATGGTTTTACTCTGAACTGATAGAGGGCCATCAGGAGGAGGAGCTGGTGTATGGAAGGGGAAGACAGTGAGTCGTGTCTATATATATCAAGGCTCTGAGAATCCCTGCAGGTCAGGGACTCAGATTCACCCATATATGCCCACTCTTCTTCCAACTACGCCAGACTCCCAAGCAGTGTACCTGGAACACAGTAGGTAGGACTCAATGAATGTTAGTTGAATGATTTGAGAAGAACGGCTGATCAAATCTGGGCTCTTGGCAAATGGCCACAACTGGCAGAAAGGTAAAGAAGCAAGTAAAGGATATAGAGTTGGTGTAACCGGTTAGAGATGATAATCAACCTAATAGTTTATATTACATATACTTACATTTACAAAATAGTTACATTTTACAAACATAAGAAGAACATTTTAAGATGGAAATACTGGTTAGGTTGTCAAAGGTAAAGAAGCAATGAAAAAGAATAACAGAAAAGAATTTGGCAATTAAGTCGTATCTTTGGGCCCATGATTTAGAAAGAAAAAGACTGAGAAGCTACAGAATAATTAAGTACTAAGGGATTACTAATTCATCCATTCAAACCTCTGAGCATCTACTATGTGCCAGGTACTGTATGACTTGCTTAGTTATGAACTACTGTCTTGTGATGTTGAGCTGTGAAAGGACAGAAACGTAATGGTAGCGGCTGGGCACTTCAGAGTTGAGTGGGAGTTTCTTAAGGATATGGGAGACCTTGGCACTGTTAGCAGGGGGAGAAGGAGCCTGAGGAAATGGAAGGAAAGAAAGGTGACAAAAAAAGAGACAAGTTCAGAAGATGATTATGTCAAAGTGAAGGAATTAGATTTAAACAAAGGGAAAGCACCAGCAAATACACAGAAGGTGAATGGGCCAGAGAGAGCATCCTGATCATGCCAAGCTGCCTGTAAGCAGGGAAGGGAAGTTGAGTCATGTAGGGTTGCATGTGAAATGAGGAACTTATCATCACCACAACCACCCACATGCTCAGCCAACTTTTAAATAATAGTTACTAAAAATTATTAACTCATTACATATCTGAAATTCTCTTTTAGCAGTGTTATATATCAAGGACTTTGCTGTGGATGTGGTTCACCAACCTTGTGACAGATTCTAGGATGGACTTGACTTTAGACAGTCCTTCTTTGCCAAAATATACCACTGTGAGATGAATCTTCTTGTCTTGATGAATACAAACATCCCTAACAGAAGTGAAAAATAAAGTTTATTCAGGAAAACATGAGGCACTATTTATTCAGAAAGCAACCACATGAAGCTTTAACAAGAAAATGAGGCATTACTGACACAATAGTAAACATAAAAGTGGCAATACTGATGAATTATGGAAGGCACAAGATCTATGCCTGAATGGGTGCACCCCTTGGAGACCCATGGAAGCAGTCTGACATTGTTGCCATATTTCAAAATTTTTTTTGAACTTTTGCTTTTGGATTGCTTTCAGAAGCAAATCGCAAGCTGTTCAAGGAAATAAACTCAATTGGTTCAAAACCAAATAAATAAATACTGATCTTTTGGATTAAGAGTCATTTTGTCTTCAGACTGGCTAATTCCAAAAATTATAACTATCATTAAAGAGTAATATTTGCCATGACTGAGATTACTTACTGTAAATAATGATGTGGCCTTTGAAAGTAATTCCAAGACAGGCAATAAAAAAAATGCTTTAGGAAATCAGATCTCAAGTGAGCTATTTGGAACAGTAAATCTCACTTGGAAGTATGACTGCCAGACATTCAGTTGCAGAACAGTTTTAATTAACCTTTTAAATCCAACAATTTCAATATGAGAATAAAGACTAGGATCACAAAGCATTAAAACTAGTATATCAAAGTATCTAAAACATTAAAAATATTAAAGTATTAAAAACATGGAAACTGTTAAATCAAAAAGCAGCATTTTCCACAAATAGTTTTCATAACGTGTAGATAATTATTTAACCCTTCAGCATTTTAAAATATCCAAATTTGATAACATAAAAAAACCTTTACAAATTCTCTGCTTTGCAAGATGAAATAACTTTCTCCAACTTTTAGTTTAATGTTTGTATTTCTAAATGTATTTCAGTTAAAAAACTGAACTCATTCTCAAGGGGATTTTCTTGTGAGACACCAGTATTCTATGTCTTGATTGGAGTGGTGGTTCGCGAGTGTATACATTTGTCAAAAGACATTAAATCCCAGCCTGGACAACATGGCAAGACCCCCCTCTACAAAGTTGTACAGAATAAAAAAGATGGCATGCACCTGTGGTCCCAGCTACTTGGGAGGCTGAGGCAGAGAATCACTTGAGCCCAGGAGGTTGAGGCTGCAGTGAACTGTGCTCACTCCACTGCATCCTAGCCTGGGTGACAGAGTGAGACCTTGTCTCAAAAACAAAAAAAAAGAGTCATGATACCCATATCCTTAAAATATGCGGATTTTACTGCATGTAAATTATACCTTAGTAAAGTTGATTTTTTAAAAATTCAACTTGTCTTAAAATGAATTCACAATTATCAAGGCCATCAAATTTAGTTTCTAATAGGTGTCACTCAATTTATTTCATAGTTCAAATTGTCTATAACACAATACACTACACATGCTTTAAAAAAAGAGAGAATATAAAAAAATAAAGTTCCCCTAAAGCCTATAAAATTATTCTAAGTAATTAAAATCAGTGAAGATAAATTAAGGAAATCTGAGTAAAATGTGATTTTTTTTTAGGAGAATGTAGCTGAATCGTTAAGCCCTGACAGTTACCTGAAGTTCTGCATAAACTGTACAAATGCTTCAGTTCTTTCAGCAAGTGGCACAATGATATTAATAATTGATCTAGTGATGTCAATCATCTCACTCTTCACTTTCATGAGAGGTCCAAAAGGGCGGAAGAGGGTCACATGTCTATATTCCATAAGGTCTGCTTTCTTAAAAAAGAGTTCATACTGCGTGCCCTTATCTCTCTCAGTGCGATAATAACCTAAAGGTTAGGAACAAAGACATCTCCATGTCAAAGTTTACAAATTCAATGGGAAGACAGATTTTACTCACTTAAACATCAAGGGTATTAAACCAGACCCGCAGGATTTTTACCTATTTGTGAAAATATTTATCCCCACTGCACAATCAGTAACAATTACTCCCTTAAAAGAAAAGGAAAGGTTAAAAAAAAAAAAGTTCACTGTTCTGTTATTTTATTCAATCTATAAAATATACTACGAATGACAATTATTCCTTTTTACATATGACTTTTTAAAAATACTAGAGCCTATCAATATGGTAACCATGAAAAATAAAGACATTACTTCTAGCAATATTAAAATCTAGACCCAAGAGTCAAAATTTCTATTGGTTTAGGTCAACTAAAAGAAATCTAGTGCCTTCATGTCAGTTATGTGATATAAAGAGTGCCATGTGGTCTCAATTTTGAGGATAGGGCCAGTCTAGTGAAGGAGACAGAAAAATAGACAAATAATAACAATAGAGTGCTATGTGATATATATATCTGTATATATATGTGTGCATACATACACACATATAAAATCACTGACTAGAGTGAAGTCAGACAAAGAAAAATTGGTACAGACATAAACACAGTGATTTGAGATGCCTTTGAGAGAAAAGCATGAGTATCTACAAGGCAATCTGATTGTTTTGTTTTTTTAGGTGGAGTCTCACTCTGTCACCAGGCTGGAGTGCAGTGGTGCAATCTTGGCTCACTGCAACCTCCACCTCCCAGGTTCAAGCAATTCTTCTGCCTCAGCCTCCTGAGTAGCTGGGACTACAGGCAGGCGCCACCACGTGGCCTAGCTAATTTTTGTATTTTTAGGAGAGACGGGGTTTCACCATGTTGGCCAGGATGGTCTTGATCTCTCGACCTCATAATCTGCCCGCCTTGGCCTCCCAAAGTGCTGGAATTACAGGTGTGAGCCACCGTGCCCAGTCGCAATCTGATTTTTAAGTGTGGCACTCAGGAGACAGAAGGTTAGACTTACAGATGTGTGAGTCACTCAGTCAATATCTGGGTATAAAAAGGTGAATAAATTAGACTTGGTCCCAACCCTCCTGAGGCTTACAGTTTAGTAGGAAGCATAAGCCTGGAAATGGGCAACGCCACATACTGTGACAAGCAGTATGAATGTACAGGTGACAAGAGCACACAGAAGTACTGCTGTCTTAGACTTGAGGTTGCAGATGACTTCTCAGAAGAGTGATATCTGAGCTAAAGTCTAGAAGAGGGATAGGAATTAGCTGTCATTACTTATTATTAGTAATTACTCTCCCTGCAGTGGGCAGACAGTGGCACAGTAGAGGAAAGGTGAGGAACAGAATATGTTCCATGTAGAGAAAAATCCTGAAGTATCAGAATCCAAGGAGAGTTATAAGACAAAAGCAGGAGCTGCAGAATATAAAACTGGCAAAGCTCCCTTTTAGTTAGAGCTGATGTGAGGACATTTTACGCATGTTACTTAGTTATTTCCTCCGCAGCTTCCGATTCTGCCATAAGCTACAAACATACAGTGAGAAGACAAAAAGCTGAGCTTGCAGAAAAATCAGAAGAGTTTTGAGAAAAATAATCCATCAAAAATGGCAGGAAGTGACAGCAGAAAAAAGAGGAGGCCACAAGGAAAGGCAGCTGCAATGCCACTGCAAAACATAATGCCCTCCCTGATGGCCTCCAAAGGCCTCGGTGTATTATAGTAATGCTACCGTGCAGCAAGTGATGGCCATGATGATTTGGAGTCAAAAAGTCTACATGTGCTATACCAGGGGTCCCTAACCCCCGGGCCACAGACCGCTACTGGTCCGTGGCCTGATGGGAACTAGGCGGCACAGCAAGAGGTGAGTGATGGGAGCCTGGCAAGCATTACCGCCTGAGCTCCGCCTCCTGTCAGATCAGCGGCTGCACTGGATTCTCAAAGGAGCGCAAATTCTGTTGTGAACTGCGCATGCAAGGAATCTACAATGCATGCTCTTCATGAGAATCTAACTAATGCCAGATGATCTGAAGTGGAACAGTTTCACCCCAAAACCATCCTCACTATCCCATGGAAAAATTGTCACCAATGAAACCAGTCCCTGTTGCCAAAAAGGCTGGGGACCACTGTGATATACAGTTTATAGAATCAAGCAAAGAGAACTTTCAAGAAACATTTATTTTCAAAATGGTTTAAGTCAGCAAGTAAATGTCTAGCAGTGAGTGTAAAGGTGTAAAGGAGATGGGTAGGGATATAGAATTATTACTGTTAATATCAATCAATAAGTATCTTAAATTTTATAGCAGTGTTCTTCAACCTCTGAGTCATATCCCATCTTGACACATAAAAATCCCATACCCTTTCTGAAATATGTATGAGGAAAACAGGTATTTCCTTACTTTTGCAAATGCCAAATATGCTTTTTAAACTATGTATGACCCCTTGTTCAGACAGACACTTCTCCTTCCTCCAATACGAAAAATAGCTAAGAGTCTACTAATATTTTCTTTATCAAACGGTTTTCAAGTTTTGAGTCTTAGTTTACACATTTTTAAAAACATAAAAAACACCGAGATCAGATAAGTAATATAAATCATACACATGCAACAAGAGCTGTTTTATTCTATTTCCCTAGTCCTTATTCTCCAATTTTATTATGATCTCATTATACCTTTTTCCAGAAGGCCACTTAAAATTCTTGGTGGAATGAAGTGCGAAAACTTTAAGTGTTTTAATACTGTGGACAATGACTGACTTATGTTACCAGCATACAATACTAGCATTTGTCTTACTAATATAATATTGACCAACGTATTTTTCACATTACCTTCTATGAAGTCATTTTCATTAAATATCAGTTTCTCTCCAAGTGGACCCTCCTCATCTTCTTGTTCATCATCTTCATCAGGATTATTAATGACCTCCAAGCCAGCTTCAATAACTTCCACCAATTCATCTCGTTTGTCTTTTCTAACTGGCTTTTCTTCAGGATGGCGAGTGAGACCCATTTCCAATTGAAATACTTTCATTAAGGTAAAACTTTCAAAGGGAATGACCCCATACTCACTGGGTAGTTTGGCCCCTATGCTAACTTCAGCTTTGTCAATTTGGGAATGAAGAAACTCTAAAAGATCACTAGGTGCTTGCTCTTTGTTGCTCTGATAGCCTATGCCATTAGCCCCTACATTCTTTCTTTCTTGCAATGACCTCATCTTTTCACTCATTTCTTGTAACTCTTGTTTTAGTTGAGCAATTTGGCGTTTCAGACTGGTTGCCCTGGTCTGATAATGTTCTTCTTGTTCCTGTAGGAGGGCTTGATAATACTCTTTACCATAATTTTCCCCAACAACACCAGGAAGAGATGCATTTCCATCAGTCTGGGGGGCACATTCCAGGAGGTACATAAATAATACCAAACTGCAGAGCAAAGCAAGGCCCAACAGCAACCAGTGGGTCCGGGTGTGAAGAATCAGTCCTCTTCTAGGCATTCTTAATGTGTATTTGCCTAACAAAATAAGCTCTTTGTGTGTTCATACCTTTAGTAAAAAGTTATCAAAAATTAAAAACAAAATCAGAATTTCCATAAAAGGTACCCAAATAATTCTGCCGTAGCTTTAAGTTTTTCTTTCTTCAGCAGTCATGACTACTTGCAGAAATGGGAAGTTATGTATACTTTCTGTATTGTTACCATGATATCCAGAATAAAGCAATCTGACATATAAAATCCATTATATTGGTAGTGATTTTTCTGAAAGACACAGATCAGAATCAATCAGAATTTTGTTCCCTTACGGATATCAAATTTGTTTGTGGCTTCAGTGAACTTAGCTACGTGACTACTACATGCAGAGAACTATGAGAGGTACTAATATAATTTAGCATATTCAGTAAATACTGGGAGAATTTTTTTTTTTTTTTTTGAGACGGAGTCTCACTCTGTCACCCAGGCTGAAGCGCAGTGGCACGATCTTGGCTGACTGCAACCTCTGGCTCCTGGGTGCAAGTGATCCTTCCATCTCAGCTTCCCGAGTAGCTGGTACTACAGGCACCTGCCCACCACATCCAGCTAATTTTTGTATTTTTAGTAGAGACGATGTTTCACCATGTTAGCCAGACTGGTCCTGACCTCAGGTGATCTGCCTGTCTTGGCCTCCCAAAGCCCTGGGATTACAGGTGTGAGCCACTAAGCCTGGCCTGGGAGAATTTTTAAAAATACCTTACAAAACAATAAATTATGTATAATACTTTTAACTAGTATGTCTACACGGCTATAACTTGAGTCAAAGAAACATTAAAATTACGATTAGCATAGTCTATATTACATACATTCTTTTTTTCTCTATTTTTTTGAAAATTATATTGCCTATAATTCTTTATTAACATAGTATTTCAATTACCGCACCATTTCCCAACTAAAGCTTATGTCCATTTGGGAACTAAGTTTATAGAAATTGTTTCTGTTATAGTAATAATGGTTTACTGGAGACAGATATTTTCTTCCAGTTTATTCAACTCAAGCATTCTACCTCATTAATTTCTACCGCTCAGCTCAGCCAGTCTAGAAGCCTTAAAATTAAGTGGGGGAAAGAACAATTTCATAAGCTCACAGACATCTGAAAAACACATTAAGAAAACATTTTTATATCCAATGTCCTCCAGTAGATTATTTGCACATTAGATTACATAATTCTTTCCACTGTATTATGCATCAACAGATTTCCTACAAGTCTAGAAAGGTTTGGAGTCTATACAAAGAAAAAACATGAAGAATTTAATCATCCTTATCAGCAGAGAAAAAAATTCAAAAACTATTTATACATTTATAAAATTACATGCCATCGTTCATGCCACAACCAGTTGTGCAAACTCCTCCATGTCTTTAATGATTCTTAACTCTAGAAATAGAGGTTTAACTTAGGACAAGGGAGGCAAGGAGGCCTTCACTGCAAAGAGAACTTCCATCGTAACAAAGTGCTTGTTGAGAAGGATAACGTGATATGACAGCAGGCTTTTAACAGTAATGGTTTTCTCACTGCAGCAAAACCTGGAAGATCACTACAGATTATCAGTCCTAGCCACTTTTTTAATGAGTAGAAAAACCTGGATGCTTTCTGTGGCAAATGCTGCAATGCGTTTTTTTTTGTTTTTGTTTTTTGGTAACATGTCTGTATAAAACATAGGACAGATGAAAACTTCTTATGGCCAATATACCACAAATAATGGTCTTAACTCTCCTTAGTCATTTATTATTTTAGTAAACCAAATGATAACCAAGTATCTTGGAAAATTTAGTTCACTACAAGGGAGTCTTTTTTTTTTTTTTTTTTTTTGAGACGGAGTCTGGCTCTGTCGTCCAGGCTGGAATGCAGTGGCGTGATCTCAGCTCACTGCAAGCTCCGCCTCCCGGGTTCATGCCATTCTCCTGCCTCAGCCTCCCGAATAGCTGGGACTACAGGTGCCCGCCACCACGCCCGACTAATTTTTGTATTTTTAGTAGAGACGGGGTTTCACCGTGGTCTCAATCTCCTGACCTCGTGATCCGCCCGCCTCGGCCTCCCAAAGTGCTGGGATTACAGGCATGAGCCACCGCGCCCAGCCAAGGGAGTCTTTTACTATGACAGTATCTCTCTTACTGATTATAAATCTTGTTTGAGTGACGTAGAGAAAAACAGAAAAAAATAGTTGGCTTTAAGAAATACTATCTAATTAAAAAATAAGAATACGAAACTAATATTATTTCCAGGACTTAACCATACCTCAAAACCATAATCCCTAGCATAAGAAAACACTTGAATTTCAAAACCTAGCAGTATCTTTTTAAACTATTATTACTAGTCCATTTATTAGGAAAAAGAACTGAAAATGTGGAGACATAGTCTTGTAAAATAAAGATATACATACTTTAATAAAGATACACATACTTAAGCATACTATACTCAAAACTGAAGTGAAACTGGAACAGAACTACCACTATCTTTTATTAATATGGTACCTCATATGTTTTCTTTATATACACAATGTATTTTAGACAATGAGCTATAACTCAGACGATGGGTCACTACTGAAGGTTTACTTTTCAATAAAATAGAATGGAAAATATCAGTGGCAGTGTTAAAGCTAAGGTCATCTTTCTTCCTCTTCCCTTTAAGGGAAATACAGGTTTTGAGATATCCTACTTAATATTACAGTTGAATATTTTCTGATAAAATGAAAGAAAGGATACTGTAATTACTTCAGAATGTAAATGTTAGTTGCATAATTCTGTGGTTATTAAAAATGAAAGATTTCAATTAAAATTTTATTTGCCTAGTTCCTGAAAGGAACTCTATGGCCATAATCTAGAAGATTACATTATAACTGTTCTATCATATAAATTATGTTAAGAATATTACAGGAAACATTTTTCTGTTGTTACATCTTGATTGTCATCATTCTATGAAATGTGTTTGTATCATGAATACGGTTCATTCACAGCCCAGAGTTAATCCCAACAAGCCTTCTAAGCACAAATGCAGATAGTTAAGTGTTTTGAGGAGAGAAAAGGATAACATGAAGATGGGAAAATAAGCTGTTAAACGGTATGTAACATGAAACCAAAGATCTCAGGATTGAAAGAAATCTTACAAGCCCTCAATTCTAACTCTCTAAAACTGACTAAAAAACTGACTTCCTCTTACAACCAAGATGAAGTAATGGGCCAGATTTACTCTCAGATTTGCTCTCTTTGGTTGTCTTGAAACAACCAAAAAAAAAAACCAACCCTTTCTGCCAAAAAACCCAAAATATGAAACAATGATTTTCAAAATATTTAACATCAGGTAACAAAGGACAGTGATCCCCAGAGAAACAAGAAACAAGTGGTTGCCAGCTTACTGCTTTAGTTTCTGAGCCACACAAGGAGGAGAACCTAAGCAGAGCCCAGCAGATTCCCTGAGTTGATGGGATGCAGCTCACAGTCTGAGGAGACCACGGTATGTAGGATTAAAGCAAATAGTACCAGAGTGGATACAGCTGCAGAGAGAGAGAAGTCCAGAAATCTGAAGAGGATATCCCATGGGTATTTGGCAGCGCACTGATCAGTGAAGGCTTATGAGGCAACTAACGGGCTAAGAAAAGGACCACACACAAAATTAGAGGACACAGAACCCAGCATTCATACAGGGCCAGGATTAGTGCATGTTCCCACCAGACAGACTGGAAAACCTCAAAATTCCCAGGGCACTGGGTAGACTAGCACTCAAAAAAGTCTTGTCTCAGTAGTGGGAAATAATTAGCTCCAGACTAAACATGGCACTAATCCTGCCAATACATCTTAAAAGCAAGACTTGAAAGGATCACATTATTTCCAAGTAATAGCACAATAAGCCTTAAGAATATTTATAAGAATATAGAAATATCCAGTACTCAACAAAATAAAATTCACAGTATCTGGCATCTCAACAAAAATTACCAGGCATAAAAAAATATGATCCATAATGAGAAAAATTGATGACTAAAACTGACCAATGATTAGAACTGACAGATGTGGGAGTCTGCAGAAAAAGCACACCAAAACAGCTATCATAACTGTATTTTTAAAATGATGTTTATGTTCAAAAATTTAAGTAGAGGTATGAATGACATAAAAGAGATCCAAGTTAAACTTCAAGAGATGAAAATTTCAGTATCTGAGATGAAAAATACACTGAATGGGATTAATGGCAGATTAGATATTTTAGAAGAAAATATTAGTAAACTAAAGATGTAGCAACAGAAACTATGCAAAAACAGAAAGAAAAAAGAATGAAAAATTTAAACAGAGCATTGATAAGCTCTGTGATAACTTCAAACAGCCTAATATACATGTAAATGGAGTCCCCAAAGAAGGGGGAAGGAGTTAGGAGAAATAAATAAACAAGGCTGAAAATTTCCCAAATTTGATGGAAACTATAAACACACATAAGAAACTCAACCAATCCCAAATAGCCATAAAGAAAATTGTAGCAAGGCACATGATAATCAAATTGCTCAAATCCAATGTAAAGAGAAAAATCTTTAAACTGGCCACATGAAAAATGCACATCACATACAAGGAACAAAAGATAATAATGACAGATTACTCCTTGAAAATTGCAAGTAATTAGACAGTGGAACAATTATCTTTAAAGAACTGAAAAGAAAAATATACCAGCCTACAATTCTATACCCAGAAAAATTATCTTTGAAAAAGGCAAAATACTTTCCCTACATAAAAAGCTAAAGGAATTAGTCACCATCACACCTGTACTGTAAGTCTTTTAGGCACAGGAACATAATACCAGAAAGGAATATGGATTTATACAAAGCAACGGAAAACATTATTAATGTTAAACTACATTGGTAACATAAGATTTTTGCTCATTATTATCTAAATCTCTTCAAAAGATAACTGAATAAAATAGACAAAATCCTAGAAAGATAGAAACAAAACTGATTTAAGAAATACCGGATATGAATAGACTTACATGACAAAAGATTGAATTAATAATAATAAAAAAAACTACTCACAAAGAAAAGTCCAGGCCTAGAGGCTTCCCTGGTAGAATCTACCAAATATTTATTTATTCTTCTTCTTATTTTTTTGAGACAGAGTTTTGCTCTTGTTGCCCAGGCTGGAGTGCAATGGCGCAATCTCAGCTCACTGCAATCTCTGCCTCCCAGGTTCAAGGGATTCTCCTGCCTCAGCCTCCCGAGTAGCTGGGCTTATAGGCATGTGCCACCATGCCTGGC